TAAATGATTTATAACGAGTTGTATAATTATTAATTGAAATGAGGTTAAATGCTTTTGTGTTTTCATAGAACTCTTCCTACTCATATTTTAACCAACAAGTTAAATAATAATGGTATTAACCACAATCTTTTTGATGTGTTTGATGTTGTTGATGTTGTTGTTGATGTTGTGTTTGTTTTTGTTGTTGGTGGTGTTGTTGTTACAATAACAATCATACTCTCGCAAGTACAACTGCTACATTCCTAATGAATCCGATGACGGCTTTATTGCCGCTGTTGTTGATTGTTGTTGTCGTTCCTCATTGCATCTTTGACTCTCTAAGCCTAAGACTCCCTAACCGCCACTTCTCCGTATAATGTTATGATGGTCCTCACCGTTGGCCTCCTTTATCCGTTCGTCTATTTGGATATCTTCATATTTTCATCCATTCAATAAACTATTTATTTATGCGTCTGCTTAGCAATTCATTCATCCATTTATCCATTCATTCATTTTTCCATTTGTTATCATTTATCCATTCATCCATCTATTCATTCGTTTATCTATGTATCCATTAAAAAATCCATTTGTGATCATTCATTAATCTACCCATTCATCCATTAAAGAATCCATTAATCATTCCATCCATTCATTCATTAATCCATCCATTCATTCATCCATCCATCTATCCATCAATTTCTTTTCTTTTCAATCAAACGAAAAATAGACGAAGTTGAATATTCCCGAGTGGTTGATATCGTGAATGATAAATTGACAATGGTAGATGATATATATGTGTGTGTATGTTTGCGTCTGTTTGTATATTTGTCTGTGTTTTATTTTTGTAGTTGTATGTTTGTGCATTTGTCCGTGTACGTGTTTGCGTACGTGTGCTGGCATGTTTGTTGGCGTGGTTGTATGTTTGTGTGTTCGTGTTTGTTTCTATGTTCAGTCTGCGTGTGTGTGTGCGTACGTTCAAGAACTTTTTTTTTAAACCTTTTCCTTTTTTCATATTTACATATTACACTCGCGCCAAAACAACTGACGTTAAAGTCTTGAAATGGAGGAAACGCGGCCACATGATGGCAGGTGTAAATTAGAAGTGTTTCAAACGAAATGCACTTCCGTTCTACGCGTTCCGTAATTTTCATACAAAATTTGAGTATCGTTCGAGATATACGACGCGCCATCATCATCGTTATCATATTACCTTCATCATTTAGGTGAGGATCAGTCCTACTATCATCAACATCGCCATCGTCGTCGTCATCATCATTATCACAACGTCTTTATCGCCATCATTATCATCACTGTCGTCATCGTAACATCATCATAATCATCATACTTTGTTAACGTTGTGATGGCGTTTTATTATCAATCTTACTCTTATTGTCATCGTCATCAGACATCATCTGGAAATCATCGTCATCATCACCATCATCAGACATCATCTGGAAATCATCGTCATCATCACCATCATCAGATATCATCTGGAAATCATCGTCATCATCACCATCATCAGACATCATCTGGAAATCATCATCATCAACAATAACAACAACATCATCATCATCATCTTCGCCATCACCATCGTCTTTTTCTTCATTATCAAAAGCATCATCATTACCAAACGCGTCATCATCATCATCATCAACAAAAACATTTATAGAAATGTACGTTATCTGAAAACTTTAAAGAACCCAAGATCACAATCATCACCGCCGTCATCATCATCATTATCATCATCATCATACAATAAACTGTTATAATTATTATTATTATTAACATCGTCAATTTTATATTATTATTTTTGTTGTTATTGTTATTTTTGTTATTATTATTATTATTATTATTTAGGCTATTAATGTTTACTTAATACTTCTATTGATGTTGGTGCTTTTTATCGCCTGCGTGTGATTGATGTTAATTCGCATTATTTTTAACTATATTTATTGAAAAATCGCATTATTATTATTATTATTATTAGTAGTAGTAGTAGTAGTAGTGGTAGTAGTAGTAGTGGTAGTAGTAGTATTGGTGGTGGTAGTAGTAGTAGTGGTAGTAGTAGTAGTAGTAAGTATTAGTAGTAGTAGTAGTATTAGTATTAGTAGTAGTAATAGTAGTAGTAGTAGTAGTAGTAGTAGTAGTAGTAGTAGTAGTAGTAGTAGTAGTAGTAGTAGTAGTAGTAGTAGTAGTAGTAGTAGTAGTAGTAGTTATTGTACTACTCATCATTGTAACAGGGTAACAACATTGGAGAGGAAATTACAGGATTAAAAAGAAAACTTTTTGTTAACTCGCAACTCTGTCGGCAATTTATGAGCTTTTATTAATTATAGCGGTGGAAAGATTGGAAAAATCAAACGGAGAGTACAATCAAAGGAGAGGCATTAACACATTCATTCATTCCACACACACATATCCACATTCACCCATGCACATCCACACACACATATCCACATTCACCCATGCACATCCACACATATTCATATACACAGATTCGCACGCGTCCACACACACTTACACATTTCCAAAAATTCACACACATCTACATACACAGACATACACTTCCACGCATTCTTGCCCGTAGACCAGCTGCCTTCTGTGGTTCAATCAGCTTACAGAGCGGGCTCATCTCTAGAGACGGCGCTGTTGAAAGCGGTTGGTGACATCGTGAATGAGATAAAGAAGGGTTAGGTGGCGTCGCTGGCTCTACTCAATCTCAGTTCTGCGTCTGACACAGCTAATCAGGGAGGGCTGTTAAAGCCTGTTAATGGCGGTTACTTTAAGTGCTGGAGAGGAGGCTCTGGATCGGCATACTTTGTTTTTTATTGGTCGACCACAAAGAGTGTTTTTAATGGGTCGATGCTGGGTGAGATAGTAATAGTAATCGGTGTTTCGCAATGGTCAGTGCTTGGTCCGATGTTGTTTTTAATGCATCCTCTCGATTTGCTTGGTGCAGTTTATTTGGGCTCACACGTACGCTGACGATCTTCAGATTTGTTCAGTCTGATGAGTGCAGCGAAAGAAAGATGTGCATGTCTTTTCGGAGGGGTTGGAGATATTGATGAGTAGTCCAGTTTGATTTGCCTGAAGTTAAATATTGATAAAACTGAGTTAACTATTTTTTTAATAAATTATGGTCCAATACGTTCGTTTGCGGTTGCGTCTATTAGATCTGATTAACAAGTGCCTCTCAGATGACACATCCATACACGCACAAAACCATAAATAAGCGTAAACAAAAGTACTCATCCACAAACACGTACATACGTACACGTAAGTAACACATACAATCGTATAATCAAATTAATTTAATATTGCGTTTGCATGGGTTAGTTTGTTTGCTGATTTTGTACTGCTATGTGTTTGTATTTGTGCGTTTGCATTGGTAAGAGTATGTTTGTGTTTGCATGTAGAAGAGTGTATGTGTGTGAATACGCGTGTTGGTGCATGTGTACTGCGGTGTATATGTAAGTGTGTGGAATTGGAAACATACAGCTCAGGTATTTAGTGTATGTGGGTGCATTTGGCGTTTTATATAAATCTTTTGTTTGCAAACATTTTGTTTTTATGCGTATTTTTAAAATATGTTTGTATGTAATGTATTTGTTTGTGTATGTTTGAGGTGTTGTGTATGTGTGTGTGTGTACTCGAGTGAGAGTGAGTGTGTATATTCGAGTGACTGTGTGTATGTTTAGGTATATTTGTATGAGATTGGTGATTTGGTTTGGTGCCTACTTTTTGTAATGATGGTGATGTGCGAGAGATTTCTCATGAAACTTTAGATCTTAAATTATTATTTTTGTGTCAAAAAATTATAATTAATATTTATTGCTTAGTCGTTATAATAACACAACTGCTCGAATCTATAAGGACGAAAGAATTTAAAAAATTATATATATACCGTAGAAAAAAAAAAAAACAAAAAATAAATTCATATTTATTGGGAAAAAAGTTGCAATTAATATTTATTAGGTTAAAAATAATAATGAATGAATTTATATATCGCTCCCAGCAGCAGATATTTCCATTGCCGTCTTCCTTCCCACTTCTGAAAGGTGAGCGCATAATTTACGAGGCATCCGTCTCTTTTTTCCTTGGACGCTCTATCAATTAGTTTTTACCAAACAACCTCTTTGTTCACCTTATAATAATAATAATAATAATAATAATATTATTATTATTATTATTATTAAAAATAAATATTTATTATTATTATTAATAATAAATATTTATTATTAATATTATTAATACAAAGTTGACGACAACAATTCTTGTTATTATTGTTATTTTAGGGTAACGAAAGTTTTAAAAATTAAATCAACAAAACAAAAACCTATTTTGTCATTATTTATACTTTTATTCTAATTTTTCAATTATCATTAAATTAGCATCTTTCGAATCTATCCCATTAAATGCACGACGAACGAACGAACGGACAGGCAATTAAGCAAGCAAACACAGTTTGATTACACGTTTGATAATAATTTGCACATTAGTTGAATAATTAAGAATTAAATTTTAAGATCTCTTTTGAAAGCCTTCATGACACGGCGGATGGGGCATGGGGGGATGGAACAACTAATTTAATAAAAAAAACTTTTATTATTAAATTAACTTTTTAAAATTGTAACTTTTATTATTTTTTATTACTATTATTATTGCAAAATAACAATACATTTGTTATACAATCCATCTTTAAATTCGCAATGGAAAGTTAATTTATAAAGTTTGCGTCAAAATATGTTAGAGACAAATGAAACATGCAACATTAATTCTGTTTGAAATGCTTATTCGAAACTATTTATAACATCTACTCATTTCATTTCATTAAATTGCGACGACGATATTTAAAGTTAAAATCTTTTCTGGTGCTAGTGAAAAACGAACTTTTTTCCATGTATCAATAGCATTGTCCAGTCTTTGCGTCTCCAGAGTTTGATGCTTGCTCTGCCCGGTCCCGACCGACCAGCATCAACTGTCCGATGTGCTTATGAAATTTTTTCAAACTTTTAAATTATTTCTAGCAAAATTTTTTATTTCGTTGTATCGGTAGAAACGAAAAATTAGAATTTTTTTTAAAACAGTTCTTAAAATTATAAAAGTCTGGAAAAGTTTTCGACTATTTAATAAATTAACAAAAACAAATAACGTGTCTTCACCAACAAACTAACCAACTAACCAACCAACCAACCAACTAACCAACCAACCAATCAACCAACTAACCAACCGACCAACTAACCAACCAACCAACCAGCCAGCCTAACAACCAACCAACCAGACAAACAGATTCTTCAACATTGCATTACAGGATAAAATTTGATTTTTCAATAATTTTGAGGATCAGAGACTGGCATTTTTAAAAATTATCAACTTTTCAATTGGGACACAGATTTCAATAAAGATTTCACTCCAAATTTACTTAAAAGAAAGCGCAGTAGGAGGAATTCGAAGAACCCGACCGGTGTATCGAAGCACGTCAGTGTAGCAGTTTATAAGGTGGCCGCACTTGTTTCCGATGTTTAAAAAATTATATACAGATGTCTTTAATTAGACTAAATCCATGTTTTTAATCACTTGTATGGCAAGAATAATTTTGAAGAAGATTGAAGAAAATGGGGCTGTGAATTACATTTTGGAAGTTATTGCGTGCTAACTCACTTCTTTCTTTCGAGAAATTTTTATAAAAAGTTACAACACTGAATTTTCTATCGTTTGTTGCTATTTAAAATTTGTAATTTAAAAAAATGAGAATAATAGTGATGATAATGATGACGAAGAAGAAGATGATGATGACGAAGAAGAAGATGATAATGGTGATGAAAAAGATGATGATGAATTGGACGATGATGATTAGGAAGACGACGGTGATGTCTGAGATAAATAATTCAGTAGGTAGTTTGTTTCATCAATGCATATCGAGCTGACGCGTGATCATTCAGCTCCAGTCGCGACTTCTCTCGCTTCCTGCTTCTGCAGCTGGTTAAACAAACATGAACATGCGTATGAATAATGTGGGTGGGTGAAGGATACACCCCGCTTCCATAACTAAACAATTCACGTTTCATTTTTAATTTTTTTTATTGTCAACAAATGTTTAATGAAACCTTTGTGTGTGCGCGCGTGTGTGTGTGCGTGTGTGTGTTTGCGTGCGTGTGCGTGCGCGCGCGTGTGTGTTATTTTCCAAAGTCAAAATAAAAGCTCTAAAAATTTTCAAAGTAAACTTTTTTTTTATTTTCCACAAAATGATTTCAAGCGTTTAACCAAACAGCACCTAAGATCGGGGCAGACAACCATGTAGCACTTTTATCGTCCGTATAGATATTTTGCTTGCGTCGTACGAGCCCACACAGAGTTTCAATATTAATTAACTAATTTGGAAATTTTCAACTGAAGTTGAGAACTTTAGCTAGATTGATACTTACGTAAACAAAACGCTCCCACCAGCGCTCAGAACATGATAACGTTTGATAACGCAGAGTCAATTAACATCAACAACTCAATAGTGAGTGCCTCAAAAATGCAATGAATTAATGTCAAGTTAGAAAATCACCGCCCACACACACACACACACAACACAATATTTTTTCTGAATTAAAAATGTTGGTAATAATAATAATAATAATAATTAATAATATTAATTAATAATAATAATATCAAATAGATTAAAATAAAGTAAAAGTAAAATAAAGTGTCAAACAGAGTAGTAATTTAGCCCACGATGCTCTTCATCCAAAGAGAGTTAGTACAAGATGTTAGTTAAATTAGTTTCAAAAGTGATTAAAGCCCCATTTCTATCTAAGTGGATAGTACGGAGACGATATTGTAAATTCAATGAGACTATTGCAGAAATGATCAGACCAAATAATACTTACAAGAGATACATACACACAAGCAAGCATACATACAAACATCCACACTACTATGGAAACACATTTTTTAACAGTCATGAAAGGTTTAAATTGACAGAGTACAAAACATCAAACAAATTATGCCCCGAATGCATCAATAACATCAACAACGCAATAACATTAACAGCGCCAACAACGTCAACAACTTTTTCATAGAATGATGCTCTAGACAATATAGAATCAACTTAGGTGTAACAATTGTAAGCAATAACAGCCTTATAAAACAATAACAACAACAGCATAAACATTAATGACAACAGCATAAATGCAACAAAATAAACAACATCAACAACAACATCAACAACAACAACAACAACAACAGCAGCAACAACAGCAGCAATGTGGATGACAATAACTTCAGTTGTACATATCGTATTTCTTTCGCTCATAACTGATTTCAAAATCAAACATTTCCACAATTCCAAATTCAATATCGGCAGTATCAACAACGTCACCAATTTCGACACAAACCTTGACAACAACTACAACAACAACTACTACTACAACCTAGCACAACTCGATGTAAAATACTTGTCAACTTCATTTTGGGATACTTCGCCCCCAGTTACGTCAGCAGCGCAACATAACGCATATCTTTCGCACGGACACAACAACACAATTAACAATTATTCTCATCAGAAAGACAACAACAACCGCAACATCAACAACAACGGCAACAACAACCGCAACATCAACAACCGCAACATCAAAGCCAACAAAACAGCAAACATCTCTAGATTAAAAAGCAAGAATGATGAATCAACAAATAGAAAACAAAAAAACAAAGATGTCGCAGTCAACAATCAAGTTGTACATTCTAGCCTTCCCTACTATTCAGTCAATATTATGATAAATTTAGTATTTATGCGCCAATTGGTCACCACAAAAAAACATATTATCACTGATCTTAATAATAAATTATTAATTAAAATCAAATTGATAATGAAATTTCAATCTGGCATGACGTAAGAACACACAACTGACAACTAACCAACCAACCAATCAACCGACCAACCAACCAACCAACCAACCAACCAACCAACCAACAAACAAACCAACAAACCAACCAACTAACCAACCAACCAACAAACCAACCAACCAACCAACAAACCAACCAACTAACCAACAAACCAACCAACCAACAAACAAACCAACCAACCAACCAGCCAACCAACCAACCAACCAGCCAAACAACCAACCAACCAACCAACGCAGAATGCAAGCGATTCTCCCGACGTTCTGAAGATTCTGATTAGCCTGCAGAAGAAGGTGGACCTCGAAAGTGGAAGGGAACATGTTAGAAACCATCCATCAATCAACCAATCAATCGATATTCATAGAATCACCTTCTCCATAAAATCAACAATTATTAAGTTGACAATTTATAAATAGTTAAATTTTTATTTATTATAATTAAATTTTTAATAATTATCAAATTTTATTTTTTTATGACATAATTTATACACCGTTTGGTATTTCTAAATCCATCAATAAAACTTTTTAATTATTTTACCGACCGATCAGCTGAAGTCAACAGAACCAAGCCAGCCAATTATAGAAGGAGACATAAGGTTAACATTGAAACAGGCTACCTTCTTGCTGGAACGTTCGAAGAGAAGAAAAAAAAGAAAATTGATCGAACCAATCACGAAACTCTGGACTCTGCCCATATTGTATGCTTTTGATGGCGGTCATGGTCAGCAAGAGTACTTTTATATTTTTCTAAAAAAAAATCAAACTCCCGTAAATGCAGAATTTGTTATAATTTGCAAAGCAAAGGAAAAATAAAAATTTAATAAATTACAAACAAAATATCCGGTGTTTACGTTCGCTAAGATAAGATTGAGGAAGGTAGTTTAAAATGGCGATGGTAGTAATTTAAGAACGGGTTTTTTGGCGTTTGTTTTGAGTTTTTCAAACAATGCTAACTGACGCAAAAAATTTTTATTATCTTTTGTTTCCGATTCCTCCGGTCTATTTTTTAATATAGACATAATAAAACTAAATTAACAAATAGACAAAAAATGAACGATGATTAAAAACTCAGAGAACTATTCAACAGGTTAATGATGTATTAAGATTAGATTTCATCCTTTAAGAGTTTAACGTTGTTTTTCAACAGGCGATAAGCCCTTGAAACATTTTCTGAGACGATGCCATGGTCACTATTCACACCAGCGGTTACGCTAGACAAGCGCCGAAATGTTTTTATTTTGTTTAAATAGCTTTTTATTTTAAAAAGATCTTAAATGAATAAGCTGGAACAGAAATCTGTGATTATAAATATGCGCTAATTATCTATTTAGTAAACAGACCCATTACAAGCAGCGAACTTTAGCAGGCTTAGTCGTTATAAATCCGTCCAACCTGATATTAAAGTAGGAAGATAGGTATAGAACGTATTTTCTGAAGTTGTACCCTATAAAACTCCGGATGGATATTCACGCCGTGTTTTCATTTTTCATGTGCTGTGTGTGGTGCAAGATGTAAATAAACATAATATTAAAATCCGGTTTTTAGCTATCCGGACCTATCCGTACATACATAAGCCGTGTTAGGCAACAACGCCTGCTTAGCTGGTTTGAATATTTTATGTAAATTATAACACCTTCTATGAAGTTGCATTTCTTAATTGGTTATACTTGAGTGGATTGAGATTGGAGATACGATGGTGATGAGGATGATGATGATGATGATGATGAGGAGGAGGAGGATGATGATGATAAGGATGATGATGATGATGAGGATGAGGAGGAGGAGGAAGATAATGATGATGATGATGATAGGGATGATGATGATGATGAGGATGAGGATGATGAGGAGGAGGAAGAAAATGATGGGGAGAGGATGACATTAATATGATGACAAATGAGGTACAATGATAGTTCTGCTGCTGCTAATGATGAAAAGATGATTTTAGTTTCATGAGAACACCGCTTGATTATGATGAGCGATGACGATTGTTCCCCAAATGATGATTTTTTTTCATAACAAAATGCGAGATGTGGCCCTTCAACAATTTGATCATCGTAGTTATCAGACTGACAGTGTTGTAATCACCAAACAAGTCATCTTTATTATTGTCATACTCATCTTACTTATCGTCGTCACATCATCGTCGTCACAAATTATAACAGATGATGAAGATAAGACTCGCATTCGCAAGGCAATTTCATACTGGCAGTCATTCACCTGCATCAGATTCAAAGAAGTACCGGCCGCTGCTAACGTAGCTGCCGATGTTGATGGTGGTGGTGGAGATGGTGGTGACGATGGTAGTGGACAAATACACAAGCTACTGTTTGCTAAGCAGAAAGGGTTAGTAATGATGAAGATGATGGTGAAGATGATGATGATGATGATGAGATATAAAAAGGGTGATAGAAATGATGAAGATAATGACGAATGGATGTGCGATTGAATGAACGAACGAATGCAAAGATGGAGAGATGGAAGGACAGTTGGTGAAGTTGGACGAGCGTACGATTAAATGTAGCACAATGAGTTCCAACTTCACGTTCAACACGCAGTAAGAAATTAATAAATTTTATAGTCAAGAAATATGGATCATATTAAATCTATAGGTATTATTGATTATGTTTCTGTTTAATACTGACTGAAAAGAGACAGTAGTCATAGTTGAAGCATCAGTAGTAGCAGTAAAAGTAGCTGAAGTAGTAATATTTGAAGTAGACGTAGTAACAATAGTAGCAGTAGTTGACCTAGTAGCAGTATTTAGTAGTAGTAGAAGCAGCCGCAATAATAGCAGCAGTAGTAGCAGTAATGGTAATATTACCTATAAAAAATATCATTAGTAGTAATAGTTGCAGTAGTATTAAAAGTAGTAGTAGAAGCAGCAGTAGCAGTAGCAGTAGTAGTATTTGTAATAGTAGTAGTAGTAATAGAAATATTAGAAACAAAAGTAGTAGTAGTTATGAATCAGTGAATTGTAGTAATAATGGTAATAGTAATGATAGTAATGATAGTAATGATAGTATAGGCGGGGACATCAATGGAATGAAGTGAGCGTGGAGTGAAGTGAGCCTTTTATTGCCACAAAATAACATTCAAGTAAAGCATGCTTGCTTTGATTAATTCATTCTGATTGTTAGAGCGCGGGTGTTGCTCTGTGTGATTGTGTGTGATTGTGTGTGTGTGTGTGGTTGTGTGTGTGTGTGTTTGATTGTTTGCATGCGTTTGTGGCGTTGCACGTGCGTATGAAATTGTAAACACAAGCAAAAAGTAGTTGTAGTAGTAGTAGAGGTAGCAGTAGTAGCAGTAGCAGAAGCAGTAGTAATAAATAGTAGTAGAAATAGTAGAAGTAATAGTAGTAGTTGGTGTAGTAACAGAAGTAGTAGTATTCATATATATTGTTTGCATGTGTGTGTGTGTGTGTGTGTGTGTGTGTGAATGCGTGTGTGTTTGCGTGTTGTGTGTGTGTGTTGTGTGTGTATACATTTGTTATAATCTCTATTTGTAGTGTATATTTAATTGTATATGAATATGTTTTTTTTTGGAAAAAAAATTTATATGCAAATAAATAGATTGTATAAGTTGTTGCTATTGTTGTTGCTGTTGTTGTCGTTGGTGTTGTTGCTCCGGTTGATAACAGCCATCACTACCTCATTAAGATAGATGCACTTGCCAACAACCAACTTGTAGATACAATTCACATCCATAAAAAACAATGTTCATTCAGCATTTTGGTGCGAACAGAATAAACAAATGAATAGAATTGCGGATGAAAATTTGAATTGTTTTCTGTAAAATGAATAAATAAATTATTTTTTAAAATAAATGAACAAATAGACAAACAAACAAACAAAAAAAACAAACAGACAAACCAACAAGCAAACAAACAAACAAACAAATAAATGGATGAACGATGAATGTATGAACAAATGAATAAATAAAGGAATAAATAAATTAATTTATAAATGATGAATAATCAAAGAAATGATCTTGATTAATCATATTTTCTCTGGTTCTCTATGCATATTTTTCAAATAATTTCTTACATCATACACACACATCGTTATGGAGGTTATATAAATAAATAATTAATACACAAACAAATCAACACACACACACACACACACCACACCACACACACACACACACACACACAGAGAGACACAGAGACACATACAGACTCACTAATACACACAAGCACACACACATACATACTCAATAACACACACACACACACAGATACAGACTCTCACACACACACACTCACTGACACACACACAATCACTCACACACACATACACAAACAAACGATCACACACATAAACAAACATACGGACAGACAGACAGGCAGGCAAACTCGAACAAACAAACACAATAGAAAGAGATAAAATTAATTAATGAATGCTTTCACTTTTTATAGACAAGGGGGAGCTTGAAGAGTTCGATCTGACGAAAGAAGCAACAACAATTGGACTGCTCATAATGTGTTTTGATTGAGGCACATTAAAAGACAATTTCTCAACGCTATTTTTCTTATTACTGCTACCATCATAAATTATTATTATTGCCTTGTTATTCTTTATTGCCGCGTGTGCGAAGCTTTTGTTGTTAGTAGTGCTGTTGTTGTTGTGTTGTTGTTGTTGTTGTCGTTGTTAGTGTTGTCGTTGGCGTTGTTGTGTTGTTGTTGTCGTTGTTAGTGTTGTTGTTGGCGTTGTTGTGTTGCTTTTGTTGTTGTTTTGTTGTTACTGTTGTTGTTAGTGTTGTGGTTGTTGTGTTGCTGTTGTGTTGCTGTTGTTGTTGTTGGCGTTATTGTGTTGTTGTTGGTGTTAGTGTTGTTGATTTTGTTGTTGTTGTTTCTACTGATATTTATCACCGACAATTTATCTCATCTGCAAGGGTGTATGCTGATGAAGATGTACATATATGCTTTATATAACTCTAAACAAATTAACACAGATACACACACGCATACACACACATACAAACACACATAATATATATATATATATGTGTGTGTGTGTTTGTGTGTGTATGCATTTTTGTTTATATATATAAATATATATAAATATATACATACACAAACTTTACTTACGAATAGACACACATTCTAAAACACCTACATTACATACTTTCACATACACAAACACATACTTACACAAACACACATAAACAAACACACACACAAAAGCGGATACACTAATCCACACACACACACACACACACACACACACACGCGCGCGCACACGCACACACACACACACACACATACACACACACACACATACACACACACACACATACACACACACACACATACACACACACACACATAGGCAAATTCACTGATGTTAAATGCACCCTGAGGCGATTTCATAGCAGCCCCGCGCTCGCTTTCAAATAATGCGCTTACTTTTTGTTGGTTTTTGTTTGTTGTTGTTGTCTGTTGAGTTGTTGTTGTTTTTTTTTTGTCTGTTGATGTTGTGGTTTGTTGTTGTTTTTGATGTATGTTGTAGTTATTATTTTATGTTTAATTATTGTAATTCATTATGTTTTGGCTAATGTACATATTTTGTTGTTTCATTTGTATGTTTGTTGTTGCTTTCATTTGTTTTCGTTGCGCCATCATCATTGTCATCGTCATCTTCTTCATCATCAACATCGATGTTCAATATATCAAATACCTTAAAAATGTCCAATTATGTGCGTTCGTTTGTGCGTGTGTGTGTATGTATGCATGTGTGCACCTATATATGTGTGTAAATTATGTGTGGCGTGCACACAGACACAATAAATTTATTATCAAAACAATTTTTCGGAGGAAGTAAATAAGTGAACGAGTGAATGTTTGTTGCGTTGGAGTTTTATAGCCGAGCCAGCGTCAGTTTTCTCACTTCAAATGAAATGCATAAACGCGTGCAACCTTTCAAACAATCATCCGCTTTGTTAATTAAGACATCCACTCACTCGCTCCCACCCTTCATTCATTCATTCATTCATTCATTCATTCATTCATTCATTCATTCATTCATTCATTCATTCATTCATTCATTCATTCATTCATTCATTCATTCATTCATTCATTCATTCATTCATTCATTCATTCATTCATTCAATCGTTCAATCGTTCGTTCGTTCGTTCGTTCATTCATTCATTCATTCATTCGTTCGTTCATATCATACGTTCATCATTTCTCTTTTGATTTTTTTGCATGATTTTTGTTTATCAGCATAATTGCACATTTAATTTTCAAAAATTTTTCGTATTGTAACTTTCAATCCATCCCACTTTCTTCATCGGCTCAATCATTCCTGAATCCTCTCGCATCATCCAATCCAATATTGAATTTATTGACAATGAACTGGGACGAAACAATGTTGACAACACATTCATCATTTTGCTCTAAAATTACACAACAAAGAGTCTGATGATTGGATAAATGGTGTGAAATACTCATAAAGTGATAACGAACAACCGATTGAAACGAACACGCAGCTGCTGGTCGTATGTGGGGTTCACTGGACAGTTCAACCAAACAATCTCTGTCGGTGATGGTTGCCAGTCGGTAGGTCAATGAATGAACGAATGAATGAATGAACGAATGAATGAATGAATGAATGAACGAATGAATGAATGAATGAATGAATGAATGAATGAATGAATGAATGAATGAATGAATGAATGAATGAATGAATGAATGAATGAATGAATGAATGAATGAATGAATGAATGAATGAATGAATGAATGAATGAATGAATGAATGCTCAACAGAACGGGACGATAGCCCACGAAATAGGGCACAGCATTGGTTTGTGGCACGAACAGAGCCGACCTGATAGAGACCTGCACGTGAGCATCAACGAGGTGAATGTGGCAGACGGCAAACTGTTCAACTTTCGCAAGAGGACTTGGGGCGAAGTGGTGACGCACGACGTACCCTACGACCTGGGCTCAAATATGCACTACGGGTCAAAGGTTAATTTCCATTACTACTTGCTGCAGTAATTATTAATATTTATATTGTCTTGACATTTTAAATGTTGGAACGCATTTTGTTTCGAGATTCCGCAAATAGTAAATTTGGTCGAATACCTAATAGTTGATCCACTTTTCGTTTTCAACTGAAGCCAAATGCCACAATTTTGAAAAAAATATTTCACAATGGAAAGCAAGCTATTGAAAAAAACCAGAGGCGGATTGTTTTTATTCAACAATACTTTATCGAGAATCAATCTTATTAATAATCATCAATCTCTCATTCAAATTTAGATGTTTTAACAGCTACAATGACCAAAATAAATTTCTCGCTAATAATATTCAACAGTTACTGTTCTGGAATCTAAAAAAGTAATGGCTTAAACAAAAATTACAATGTTCGGCTCTTCGGCCTAAAAATGGCCGAAGCCGAATGTCAAAAAATTTCAAGCAGGCAAGCAAATAAATAAATAATACAGATCATAATAAATGAGAATATTAGTTATAATAAGCAAAACTGTAAATCATAGTAAGTTACCACACTAAATAATGTTTACTTGTTTAATTTTTTTTTTTAGATTTTTTTTATTTAATGTTATTTTTAAACCAATCAACATAACACTTGAAATCATTTTTGCATCAACAATTGTAACACCAACCTTATCATCATCGTCGTTTTTATCATCACCATAATCATCATCATTAACAACAACAACAACATAATTATCATCATCACCAGCTTCTTCATCATAATCTTCATCATCCCTACCCTAATCATCATCATCATCATCATCAACGCCATCATCATAGTGATAATCATACCTGCCGAGTTGCATTAGCAATATTTGAGGCGTAAAATTTTCTAATTTCATGTTCAACTTATTATTTTGATGAATTCATTCATCACAAGCACTACATCAACTTATTAATTTGATAAATTCATCCGTGTCTCGTCACAGTAACTACATCAACTTCATTCATCACATCAACTACAACATCAACTCAAGCTCTTGTTATTCCAATGTAATGAACAAGTTAATAACTATTCATTTATTTCACCGAAGCGGTTCACAGATTGTTACATTGTTAAAAATACAAAAACCTCAAACAAAACGTTACTATGGTAACGAACAAAACTAAAAAGTAAAAAGATTGTCCGCTGTAATCATTTTCAAAGTAATTCGCCATTGTATAACATAAAAATTGAACCAATGAACGACATGGAAAGAGGTGAATTAATAAGTTGTACTCTCAACTACGTAAATAAGCTGCGATGGAAAAAGCATAAGCACCTAACAAATTCCATCCACATCAGTGGCAGCCATCTTGCTTGTAATGTAATCAACATTTCAGTATTACGCCAAAGACCCGAACGTAACCCTGACAACAGTACAAACACGTGACCCTCTGATGTCGATGGTGATTGGCCAGAGGGAGGAGTTATCTTTCTATGATGTTAAGATGGCTAACATTGCTTATTGCCCAGGTTTGTTGTATCATCCACTAAATTGTTCAAGTGTTTAATACGTTATAACGATGGTTTTCGATGTTATTTATTAACTTAATCATTGTTTTCATATCATCAACCTAATAAGGCGGTCACTCAAGGTAACAAACCAAGTTGTTAAAGTTGAACTGTGCCGATTGAAAATTCCTCACATTGAATTGAAAATTATTGTAATTCAATATATAATATATCAAGCCATATTCAAAGCATGACCAACCAATTAACCAACCAACCAACCAATTAATTAACCAACCAACCAGCCAATCAACCTACCAACCAATCAATTTACTCAGACACTTGCAGAGGCACCAAACTGATGCAACCCTGCAGGAGGGATGGCTACCAGGACCCCCTGAACTGCCGACAATGCAGATGCCCCGACGGATTTGCAGGAACGTTCTGCGATAACATCATGACGTCAAATAATGGTACTCTAAAGTTTTTAGTCGTCCACATTTTGAATTTCGTTTAAAGCTACATTCATGGAATAGAAAATATTATTTTTTAAAATACTCTTCTAATATTAAATACAAATTCATTATGGTGATTATGTGGGTGTATGAGGTGAATGAACTTCTGAACGAACAGCGCGCTGTGGTGGCACGGTAGATGGCAGTACAGCTGGCTTCATTTACTCGCCTGGCTACCTATCACCAGGCTACAGATTCAACGTTAAGTGTACCTGGCTAATTAAGGTCAGCTATTTGAATATTCATATTTCTAAAATATTTTTTCAAATGTTTTTCTCCTTAAATTGTTGACTACCTCAAACGAATAGAGATTAGCTGGTCGTCAAGTTAATGCAGAGTTTGGAAATGCAGAGTGATTGGCGCTTTTCTCAATCAAACTTTCATCACACTCTTATTAATGACATTTGTTTGAAATTAAAGAATTTTTTACATGAATTTATCTTGATACGTACATTCAGCATGTCGTCAAACTTTTACTGAAATTTGAATAACTTCTCAATTTACTTACATGTTGCAAGCCATGTGTTTCTGTAGTTTTTAGATTTTTTTCAAATCTGAACATAGCAAATTATTTAAATGAATAACAAGCAGATCGTGTGAAAAATAAGTTAGTAAGCAAGCTGCCGTGAAACCATTGTTATTGAACGAACAATTTGTAGGCGCCACAGTATCACAATATTTACTTGGAGTTTGTTGGAACGTTCGGCATGAGCTGCCACGTTGACGTCTGCAGGGATTATGTCGAAGTGAGGTACAACTCGAGTTTGTCGCTGACGGGAGCTAGGTGAGGATGATGAGGTCATGAGGATGGTTACAACAATAATGAATGTTGATGGAATTAATGACGAACATCATTACAGATTATTATCACTTTTAAAAGCAAATGTTTTTCAGTTGAAATCCCTATGTCACATCAACATTACCACCTTCACTTCTTACAAAACCTTCTCCCTGCTGGCTAGATTTTGTTGCACAGACAAGCCGGAAGTGACTTTGAAGTCGACAACGAATGAGATGATGGTTCTCTTCAGAACATTCCCCAGTAGCAGAACCTGCAGTGACAACATCTTCCCGCACAAATGCATCACATCTCATGTCGGATTCAAGGCAAAGTTCTTTTCAAGTTTGTACACGCCTTCATTCATTACAATTATTAACGCAAATTAAGCTCAATTACTTTTACTACTTCTTGAATTTTTATCTAATACTATTTTTACATGATACTTAGTAGATTTAGTATTACTTTAATTTAGTTTAGTACTACTACTGCAATAAATAGCAGCTATGACTATTATTTAAAATATGCTTTTTAAATGCCTAGAACAATTTTAAAAACAAAAAGAACCTTAATATTAAAAGACAAAAAAGTATATAGTAGTGATAGCAATCCATCTAACGAATGGATTATCAATGCGCGTTAATGCGCGTTTTCATCAGTATCGCTTAACACCATGACCTTCTACTTAACTAACAGAACCATGTGGCGGGTTCCCATCACTCTCTACCATTTCCACCCTTCCGACGTCTCTTGCTAGCATCTCCGAGATGCCACCGTCATCACTGACGTCATCGATGACATCATCAGCCACGGAAACAACTCTTCCCACGTCAGCGAATGTTCAACCAGTTTGTTGGAAGCGAAGTTCGTACGTTTGCGTGCAGACCTGGAATGACAAGGTGATGGTGCAGTGCCCTAAGTGGTGGCAGACGAAGAATTGTGGCATCAGGTAGGTGGAAATGTGTTGTTGTTTTTGCCGCTGTTGTTGTTGTTGTTGCGGTTGTTTGAAATGTATTTAGTGGGAGTTAAAATAGTTCAGAAAATATAATTATGTGTAAAATTTGTACTGAATTCTAAGAATATAACAGTCAATAACCATTCGTAATCCCCTTCCCAACAAACCACCTCCACAAAAATCAACAACCAACTTTAAAACACAACAATCCGCAGAAATACGAACAAGATACGCGAGTCGACGTGCTACCGGGACACACCATTTTGTAGCGAGGACCACAGTCTCGTCAAGGAGGGGATGGTGTGTGCAGGTTGGGCCAGCCATCCACCTTCTTCCGTTTCATCCATTTATGAATGACCATTCACATGTTGATAATAAAAAAATATATTATGTCGATAATGTAATTAAAATTGTCAAAAATTTCTCTAAAAAGGTAACAACACGAGTTCTGGAAACAAAGCTTACAACAGCAATAACGATAATGTTGCAAAAAATGTTGCCAACAATGTTGACAAAAATGATCAGAACAACAACTCAATTAACAAGAACAGAAACCTTACAAATGTAAAAAACAAATTGTCAATTAAACAAAAGACGTCATCTTTCCCGTCATCATCATCATCATCTCTACCCCAACCTTTAACCATTTTCTCACCTCAACCCGCCCCATTGTCAGCTTTGTTATCATCATCATCTCCACCATCGTCATCATCATCTCCATCAATTTCATCATCGTCGTTATCGTTTGCATCTTCAAGCTCGTCATCGAACAGTTCGCTGCGCTCATCTGCAGCAGCAAGAGGCAAGGACAAGAGGAAGAGCCGCAACAAAACAAAACTCAACAAAATAAAAACAAATAATAACAACAATAATAACAACAACAACAACCAAAATCGCAACAAAAACAGTTTTAACAATGTCAACATTAACACCAACAAAAATTTACTCCAAAAAACTACTAGACAGCTAAGAAGACGGCAACAACGCCAAAACCCACAGCAATCCGTGCAACCAGTTTATCAAAAACAAAGGCAAAAACAACAAAAACAGAAACAACAACAGCAACATCAACAACACTTTCAAGATCAACAATTTTGGACCAGTTGGTCAAGTTGGAGCGCCTGCAATGCATCTTGTGGCGGAGGTCGCAGGTTCAAAAGCAGAATCTGCCTCAATAATAACATCTGCGTGTTAGCATGACGGGGTTTATTTTATGTATTATTGAGTTAATTCGTTTTTAATATTTTCATTATTATTACTGTTTTTTGTTAATGTTATTGTTGGTGTTGTTATTAATTTGTTTTAAACTGATGCAATCTTTTTACAACAGCAATGTATCTTAAGACTGGCTTTTTTCAGACTTTTCTGCTTGCTTTTATGTTTGCGTAACAAAAGATCATTATTTAGCAAATAACATATCTCAGTGCAAATAATAATTCTAAAGCCAATGATGCCAAAAGAAAAAACTGTTAATTAACTTTTGAATGAAGGACCAACGTCTTCATGATTTATTCATAAATTATTTCAGATCCCAGTCGAAAATGATTTTCGCTTTTGTGTGATCTAAGAGTTGTGATTAAATTTAACGTTGAATTTAATGCGATGGTGGGTCTCGTAAATGGTTTATAACAATGATAATAAAAAATTAATAATAATAATAATTATTGTTATTATAATAAAATAATATATAACAATAATAATAGTGATAATAATAATAATAAAAACAACAACAATAATAATAATAATGATAATAGTAATAATTGAAATTATAAAGAAATATTTTAAAATTGCTGGACAGATACGGTAGCATACAAACAGCCAGACAGACATGTAACAGAGTGCCTTGCTTTAAAGAATGCAGCCATTCACAAAACTATCAACAAAGTTTCCAACCGAGCTATCAGCCAAAGTATCAACAACCTCAACAATTTCTTCAACAGAGACAGCGAAGGTTACTTGTTATAGTTGTCAACAGTGGCGAACCTAGACGAAAGGGCCAAAATTTTGAAAATGTTTAAATTTTGACGGGTGGCCAATGTTTGTGGTAATTCGGTCAAAATTAAACTGACAACTCTTAATGCTTATCGCCTCAATATTTTTGATCCATTTTCGATATAAAACGGTGTTTGTTCTTGTTAAGACAATGAGTTTTACTGACTTTAAATAGCAATACTGCTCACAACGATAGGGCTATGGCTTTCGGCCCTCTAGATCCGCCACTGGTTGAATACCAAGAAAAATTAGATTGGTTTTTTAAAAATGCACATATAGATAATTCAGATAGCTTTAGTTCCACATAAACTGCTGAGTTTCTCTCTTTACAATCTTTTGCATATTGGCCCGGTTCAAATGCACTAGTATCATGTTAGCTAATGAAACATGTTTTGCATGTGCACACGCTTACGTGAGTGCCTAGGCTGCAAATGATTGAAACCGTCGCGTTAACAAGTACTACAGATTTTTAACTTTTTTCAACCTTCAGCTCAATCTGTCGACCAGTTTGTAATGAACAATTCAAATTGGGCGAGAACAGGCTTTGCGTGTTGAAGAGAAGGAAGAAACGCAGAGAAAAGTTTTAATAAATCAAATTTCAACTACATGTGATTAACATTAAAATCTTTATAAACAAATAATCATCACTGCTTTATAAGGTTTTTAATAATATTGAATAATAATACAACGTATGATATTTTCACCCATGACTTACTTTTCATAAATTTAATTTACTGCTGAATTGTATGAAATGTACCAGTACTGAAATTAACTGAT